TAACGACCCAGTGCAGGTTTGGAAGGCTTTAGCAATTAAAGCACCGTAAGATTGTGAGTGTTCAAGTCTAGGGGGAACTAAGCATTTTTTTGTGTGTGAATGTGCAAAGCCCGTGTTTATTTGTGTAAGTTAAAAATTGAGTTTTTTGTTTGTGTATAAGAGTTTAGCAATGTGTTTAAGTAAGATTGTGCAACTGTTTTAAGTTTAGGGGGGGACTAAGTATTTTGCGCGAATGTGAAAGCCCTGGGTTTATTTGTGTAAGTTGAACCAAAAAAAAATGAGTTTGTTTTTGCGAGCGAGTTTGTTTAAGCATGTGCTATCATTAAAAACTTCCAAAGTAATGACAGTAATGCCAAAATGAATTCATCTTTTCACTTTTTGAAAGGTGGAGGTGTAACATTTTCTGAAAACCTTTGCGCTTGATATACCACGGCACTGACATAAATGGCAACTGATGGAGTCGACTTTTAAATTTTAACACATGATTTCAAAAAGCATTTCATAGCAACAGATAGTGCCAGTCGATGCGTTACATGAAGTTATTGGGCCCCCACCACAATAGCTGCAAACTATTATGATGTTAAAAAATTTAATTTAATACGGAATATGCACAGATTTCTAGTACATATTACATTGCTTAAACCACTCAACTACTTTCCTTTATAGTATATTTACGAGTGTCAAATTAATGTTGGGAGTGTCAAACCCAACACAATTATTTAAACTTCTTTTCGTATTCTATGAAATATCACAGGTATTGTTAATGCTTGTAACGTTTATTACAAAAGATAGACATACATTTGATGCTATTTTTCATATTAAAATCTAATTTGAGGCCCGAAAAATATATCTATAAAATCTATAAACAGGTTAGAACCATACAAAGGCAAGCATGCCTTTTTCACCAGTAATCAACTGAATGCCACAGAAAATGGAATCTTTACTTTAGCTACAGAAAACGGAGCAAAGTCAAGGGGGGATGACTGGAATAAACAGTTTCCAACCTGACTCTTCTCGCACATAAACATGTCTTTCTTGACCTCATTTCAAATTATATAGAGCTCATTTTCCATAGCAAATATACTAAGGAACTCATTTTACGACTAGAACGCAAACTAGGACCCCTCATTCCGATTCAAAACACGAGAATTATTGACTGAACATTTACCCACATTCAAGCACACACAGGACTCTTTAAAGCTATCTTAACTTCTTTAAAACCCTAATATGACCCATCTCACATGCAGATCCTGTTCTATGACTCGCCCTTCATGTCAATGTACCCCACAGTATCATGCAAATTCAAGATAAGGCTTACTACACCTATATATCCAACTTGGTCTTTGTAAGGAATCTTGACCCCCCTTCTATGCTTGACCCCACTGGGGTAATCATAGGTAGGGGGTCCCTATTGCCGACGTCATGTCACGTGACACCCTCGCGACAAATAAGGAAAATTTCACCTGATTGGCCCATGACCCCGAGACAGAAAGAGAATTTTTCTACTCGGCTCCTGATTGGTCAAAAAATCGCGCCCCGTTCTCACCGCTCACCTCTGACCATTACAGAAAATGGAGCTGTGCCCAAGGGCTCCCTGTACTATTCAGTCATAGCCTCATTAAAGTACTCCAAAAACTTCTATATTCGCTTTCAACTGTGTTTCTTGGTTTGAATCTATTGAACATTCACCCTCTGATCCATTCAAAAGTAAGGGCCCCCAAATTGATACCGTAGTACTCTCGTAACACCCCCGGGCCAAATCGTGAATATTTGCTCATGCCATTAAAATACTCCAAAAACGTTTATAATGCCTTTCACCAGTGTATTTTTTGGTTTGAATCTATTGAACATGCACCCACTGATCTACTCATAAGTAGGGGACCCCCATCTTGATGCCTTAGACTCATCTTAAAAACACGAGAAAAAACAGGTTAGGATAGGGCACCAGTTCCTCAGGTACACCCTGGGTGGTGGGCCCTGGGTACCCCTGGGGGGGGGGGGGGGAATGGACCACCCCACCCCCGCCAGCCAGCCAGCCAGGTGCGCGCCCAGCGCGTCCTGACCCAACTGCTTGAAAAAGATTTTCACGATCTGGCCCCCGGAAGTCAAGTCGGCATGGAAGTGCCCAACCGTTTCTGAAAATCAATTCTCCATCTGTCTCCTTTTACACTACTAACCCCAGCAGCACCCCCATTGCTTCATACAACCCCAGCAGCACCCCATTGGTTCATACCACCCCATTGCTTCATACAACCCCAGCAGCACCCCATTGCTTCATACAACCCCCAGCAGCACCCCATTGTTTCATACAACCCCCAGCAGCACCTCATTGCTTCATACAACCCCCAGCAGCACCCCATTGCTTCATACAACCCCCAGCAGCACCCCATTGCTTCATACAACCCCCAGCAGCACCCTATTGCTTCATACAACCCCCAACAGCACCCCATTGCTTCATACAACCCCCAGCAGCACCCCATTGCTTCATACAACCCCCAGCAGCACCCCATTGCTTCATACAACCCCCAGCAGCACCCCTGCTTCATACAACCCTCAGCAGCACCCCATTGCTTCGTACAACCCTGTAGCAGCACCCCATTACTTCATACAACCCTCAGCAGCAACCCATTGCTTCATACAACCCCCAGCAGCACCCCTGCTTCATACAACCCCCAGCAGCACCCCATTGCTTCATACAACCCTCAGCAGCACCCCATTGCTTCATACAACCCTGCAGCAGCACCCCATTGCTTCATACAACCCCCAGCAGCACCCCATTGCTTCATACAACCCCCAGCAGCACCCCATTGCTTCATACAACCCCCAGCAGCACCCCATTGCTTCATACAACCCCCAGCAGCACCCCATTGCTTCATACAACCCCCAGCAGCACCCCATTGCTTCATACAACCCTGCAGCAGCACCCCATTGCTTCATACAACCCCCAGCAGCACCCCATTGCTTCATACAACCCTGCAGCAGCACCCCATTGCTTCATACAACCCCCAGCAGCACCCCATTGCTTCATACAACCCCCAGCAGCACCCCATTGCTTCATACAACCCTCAGCAGCACCCCATTGCTTCATACAACCCTGCAGCAGCACCCCATTGCTTCATACAACCCCCAGCAGCACCCCATTGCTTCATACAACCCTGCAGCAGCACCCCTGCTTCATACAACCCCCAGCAGCACCCCATTGCTTCATACAACCCCCAGCAGCACCTCATTGCTTCATACAACCCCCAGCAGCACCTCATTGCTTCATACAACCCCCAGCAGCACCCCATTGCTTCATACAACCCCCAGCAGCACCCCATTGCTTCATACAACCCCCAGCAGCACCCCATTGCTTCATACAACCCCCAGCAGCACCCCATTGCTTCATACAACCCCCAGCAGCACCCCATTGCTTCATACAACCCCCAGCAGCACCCCATTGCTTCATACAACCCCCAGCAGCACCCCTGCTTCATACAACCCCCAGCAGCACCCCTGCTTCATACAACCCCCAGCAGCACCCCTGCTTCATACAACCCCCAGCAGCACCCCTGCTTCATACAACCCCCAGCAGCACCCCATTGCTTCATACAACCCCCAGCAGCACCCCATGCTTCATACAACCCCCAGCAGCACCCCTGCTTCATACAACCCCCAGCAGCACCCCATGCTTCATACAACCCCCAGCAGCACCCCATTGCTTCATACAACCCCCAGCAGCACCCCATGCTTCATACAACCCCCAGCAGCACCCCATGCTTCATACAACCCCCCCCAGCAGCAGCCCTGCTTCATACAACCCCCAGCAGCACCCCTGCTTCATACAACCCCCTGCTTCAGCAGCACCCCTGCTTCATACAACCCCCAGCAGCACCCCTGCTTCATACAACCCCCAGCAGCACCCCTGCTTCATACAACCCCCAGCAGCACCCCATTGCTTCATAAAACCCCCAGCAGCACCCCTGCTTCATACAACCCCCAGCAGCACCCCTGCTTCATACAACCCCCAGCAGCACCCCTGCTTCATACAACCCCCAGCAGCACCCCTGCTTCATACAACCCCCAGCAGCACCCCTGCTTCATACAACCCCCAGCAGCACCCCTGCTTCATACAACCCTGCAGCAGCACCCCATTGCTTCATACAACCCCCAGCAGCACCCCTGCTTCATACAACCCCCAGCAGCACCCCATTGCTTCATACAACCCCTTCATATCACTCCAAACATTGGCTTTAAAATTAAATGCAATTTTTATTCCGTTAAACGAACCACCAGAATTTTATTTACTCGAACTAAACGTATGGAAAATGATTTGTTACTGCTTAAATTTAAAAATGATTTGTAATTGCTTAAATTTCTTAGTAGGACTAATAATAGTAGTTGTAGTATTTTTTTGACAATTTACCTTGTGCCTACACTGCGAGCGGACAGCACGCGGGACTTGTGATCCTGTGGACCTGGGTTCGATCCCAGGCACCGGCGAGAAACAATGGGCAGAGTTTCTTTCACCCTATGCCCCTGTTACCTAGCAGTAAAATAGGTACCTGGGTGTTAGTCAGCTGTCACGGGCTGCTTCCTGGGGGTGGAGGCCTGGTCGAGGACCGGGCCGCGGGGACACTAAAGCCCCGAAATCATCTCAAGATAACCTCAAGATAACTGTTCTGAGGTATCCAGGTGTTCAGTCATTTTGTATAAATAATCTCTTTATTTTTCTCTCTTTCTCTTTCTATCTTTCTCTCTTTTCTTTTAGTCAGAGGTCTTCAGCGTAACACCAAACTAATCTTAGTATTTTAACATACTATATTTATCAAATTTGTAGCGATATATCATAGCATATTTAACGATATGAAGTTAAATTACTTCACTGTTCTTATATTTAACGTTTTTTATTATTTATATTTGTTAAATTATTGTTTAAGTGAACTAAAATATTATAGCAATATTAGGATTCATTTTCTCCCTCTGAATATCTAAATTACTTATGTCAATATTACCGGCAGAGTACGGAGAGAGCACAGGAGGGCGATATACTAGCAGTCTGTGGGGGCATACTACACAAGGTAAGCCAACTTGGGGTATACTGCCCCTTATACTTTTAAGATTCATTCTAAACATACCCGAAATAGCAAAGTCGAGGGGAAATAGGATTAGAAGGAAAGGCGATATATAGCAGAATATCGAGGAGGAAGGTATACCACAATACCCAGGAAGAGAGTATACCACTATATCGAGGAAGGTATAACAGTATATTAAGGAAGAAGGGCAATAAAGTACATAGTTGCCAATATAACCCCCTCCTCATATTCGCCCGTGTCCCACCTCCCCATATAATCTAATGTTATTGTCAGTTGAGCAGGACTGATCGGTGTGTCAGATTAACCTTAAATCTCCCCTCTCTCCCCCTCCTCCCCCCCCCCCCCCACCATCAATCTCCAGTCCTCCCCTGCTGAGTGTATATTAACGCTCTCTGGAGTACCCACTCTTTTTTTTAGGAAAGCAATAACAGTGGAAAGACAACGTGGTAATAATTATTACCATTGTGTATCTTGGAGCAGTAGCTAAAGGCAAAAGTCTCAACATAACCCTAAACTGGATCCCATCCCATGTTGGAATCCCATTAAATGAGTAAGCCGATGAAAATGCTAAATTGTCAACTCGTCATCCAGTGATACATACAACAATCCAACCCAGCCTAGAGTAGATGGGAGACATCTCCCGTCACGCAGGGTGCAGTCGCACCTCCACAGATCTCCAGTATTATCTATTGATACTGGTAATGGCTCAAAAGGGCCACCACTTACGGGCTATTCATGCCCGTGCCACCTTTTGGGTGGATTAATCTTTATCAATCAATCAATCAGCCTAGAGTACACACAACACACACACACACCTCATACTCTAACGCCTCAACACAGCCCATCTACACCAGAGAGTAGCAGAAGGTTCGCCCTCTGCAACATGGTATCTTCAGGCCACCAAGTTAGACAGGTTAAATATCCCGAAAAGAATCCACAGGAAAATATCAGTTCGGTTATATAGACTACGTCTAGGTTACAGATGCAACTGGGGGATTGGTGGACCTAGATAGAAGGAATGCATCTTATGCCAATCACAGACAAGCCATTACTTCACTATCTCCTGGAATGTGAATGGAAAAGAAATATCAGGAGAAAGCGCCAAGCCTATACGACTATATAGCACTGAGAAGGGGTCAGGATAAGTATTAGGGATGGGACGGGTTGAGGATAAGGAATGTGAAGCAACCAACGACCTTAGAAGAGCTTTAAGAGTCCCTGAATCTTGCAGTAACCAGCCTGATGCCATCAACACTGCCACTCTTCTGGTCAAAAAAGGTGTCCAGCAGCTGGAGACCCTCATAAATACTGTCAAGCATTATCCTCCCCCGCGATAGCAGCCTGGCGATTTAAATGCAACCTCAGCACACAGTATACATTCATTCTTAAAATAAATCTACCATTTACGGGCTATTCATGCCCGTACCACCTCTTGGGTGGCTTAATCTTCATCACTGAATCAATACACTCACTATCCAGAGACATTGCAGTAGCCATACACAGACTCAGACCTGGTTGCAGGTGCTGCTGGAAGCTAATAAGAAAGTTAAAAAGTGGCATATCTCTGGAACAAATGCAGAGGCGCCACTACTGCATTACTTACTGGACTGTGAAGCAACTGAAGCCCTGCTCGTCAAACTCAACATTCATCCAATGAGAGCAGCTGCATTTGATGCAAAATCCACAGCGACTACAATGGTTAGAAAAGCAGTTGAAGAATGGGACACACTAGTGAACACTGTGCATCTATATCCGCCACCAAGATAATGTTATTAATATAAGACTAAAACCAGTGCGCTAAAACAGAAGCTGAAAAGAAACGGGAGAAAAGGAGAACATCCCATCTCCACTTAAAACCTTGACCCAAATATCACAGTAACAAGGTTATCACTAATAACCGAACTCAATTACGGGCTCACTATAGCCTGTGCTACATGCTCATTTCGTTCTGAGTAGCTAAATCAAGTTCAACATCACGTACACACACTCACTCGTCCTCTAGTCTTAGTCTAGTCTCTTAGTCTCGTCTTAGACTCGTCCTCCGAGTCTTAGCGTATTATCTTCAATATTATCTATCAATATTAGACTATCATTACCATCACTAATAATAATACAAATTAGTATGTTAAATATATAATGTTTTGTAGTGTTGCTTCATACTGAAATACAGCTGCCAGTATTATATATGGTTCTTTGAGAAAATGCCTCCATCAGTTAATCATATTCAAGAGCTTTCCCATGTCAGCCAATCATATTCAAGAGCTTTCCCACGTCAGCCAATCATATTCAAGAGCTTTCCCACGTCAGCCAATCATATTCAAGAGCTTTCCCACGTCAGCCAATCATATTCAAGAGCTTTCCCACGTCAGCCAATCATATTCAAGAGCTTTCCCACGTCAGCCAATCATATTCAAGAGCTTTCCCACGTCAGCCAATCATATTCAAGAGCTTTCCCACGTCAGCCAATCATATTCAAGAGCTTTCCCATGTCAGCCAATCATATTCAAGAGCTTTCCCACGTCAGCCAATCATATTCAAGAGCTTTCCCATGTCAGCCAATCATATTCAAGAGCTTTCCCACGTCAGCCAATCATATTCAAGAGCTTTCCCACGTCAGCCAATCATATTCAAGAGCTTTCCCACGTCAGCCAATCATATTCAAGAGCTTTCTCACGTCAGCCAATCATATTCAAGAGCTTTCCCATGTCAGCCAATCATATTCAAGAGCTTTCCCACGTCAGCCAATCACATTCAAGAGCTTTCCCATGTCAGCCAATCATATTCAAGAGCTTTCCCACGTCAGCCAATCATATTCAAGAGCTTTCCCACCAGAGGCACCAGTAATCACAAGTACCGACGACAAACAACTAAACAATGGGGGTTGATTATGCTTTACTTGCTTAAAGTATACAAATAAACAATTTAATTTTGGTTATGTGGTGTAATTTATTATCTACATAGTTATTTGCATATTTTCTTATTTTTACTATTTTATTATTTGCCAATTTTATTATTTTACTATTTATTATTTGCATATTTTATTATTTACAATTGTGTTCATGTCTTGTTTATAACACATGCCATAACATCACACAATATTAGACCAACGCAAACCGCTACATAGCAACCTATTCCGTTGCTTTTAATCTAAACTATCATATGTTTCAACTCAATGGATAAAAACTATTATCTATTATAAACTATCATATTACCATCAATAAATGGTATATTAATAATATACCATTTATATTAGGTAACATAAATGTATATTACCTAACTAATCTGATCCGAGTCTTAGCGTATTATCTTCATGAATCTAGCATGATACGTTACACTTCTCTGTTACACATCATTTGCTGTGCCATAATATTTTATTCGGATGAACTTGCTAGGTCCAGGTGTAGCATTTAGCATGATCTGCTAATTTCAGAGTACCATTTAACATTATCTGCTAATTTCGGTGTTCAATTTACTTAATATTCTAGGTCCCGGTGTATCATCTAGAAAAATAAGCTATCTTCTTGTTTAGCATCTAGCAAAATACGCTAGCTCTCGGTGTAGCATCTAGCATAATCTGCTTCTTTCTGTGTACCAGCTGGCAAAGTACGCTAGCTCCCGGTGTAGTAATGTAGCACAATACGCTAGCTCCCGGTGTAGTAATGTAGCAAAATACGCTAGCTCCTGGTGTAGTAATGTAGCAAAATACGCTATCTCGCAGTGTAGCATCTAGCAAATCTCGCTAGGGCCTGTAATGGTATCTAGCACCATCTCCCCTTGCTGGTGGCGTAAGCGACACCCACAGTAATAACCCAGAGGAAAAATATGGCCCCCGAGATATGAGCGACCCTATCGCTGCCCGTTAAAACAATTTGATTCTGGTTTAACCGTTCGTGGATCCCACAACGCCTCGGGGTGCGGATGTCGCCTAATTGAATCCATTTTTTTTTCTCGTTGGCTGCTGCTGGGAGTATCCCTGGATCTTTCTCATCGTCGGTCTTGTAATGGAGCGAGGCATTTGCATAGATATCAGCGACGGGTTATATATGATATAACGGTTTAATCTCCGAGAACGATGTGTAAGATATCCGGATTCTGGTAGCCTACAGAAGGACAAATAATTGACGTCCCCTCCACAAAGAAAGCAATCCGAGGCTACTACCCTTTTGAAACAAAACAATTATAGACACAACTATCATCCAAAAACAAAACAATCCGAAGTTCCTAGCATGTGAAACACAACAATCAAAGCCTAACGCCGTTCGAAACAAAACCAACCAAGCGTGCTTCCGTCCGAAACAAAACAGAAACAAGTGTTGGGTTAAGAGGGTCGGCCCTCACCCCTGCCATCTCGCGCGTCATATATTCAGTGAGGGCTTAAATTAGGGCACTTACACCCAGTTACTCTGGTAGGGGGCGGGCGCTAATAGCTTTATAACGCCTCTGTTCATTTATTAAGCGAGAAGGCTTAGCGGTGAAGGGAGGCGGGGAGCGTGTTGATCTATGCTCCACCCGCCTCCCCCCATCACACACCGCTATACTAACCTATAATACTTCTATAGCGAGGTTGAAATAGACTATAGGCTATTCCATCCTTCTTGGATTTTACTATTTCTATTGCTATAAATACCACTATAACTTCTCTGCTTTTACTAGTCAACTAATTCCCCTGAGACTATCATTACCATCACTAATAATAATACAAATTAGTATGGTAAATATATAATGTTTTGTAGTGTTGCTTCATACTGAAATACAGCTGCCAGTATTATATATGGTTCTTTGAGAAAATGCCTCCATCAGTTAATCATATTCAAGAGCTTTCCCATGTCAGCCAATCATATTCAAGAGCTTTCCCACGTCAGCCAATCATATTCAAGAGCTTTCCCACGTCAGCCAATCATATTCAAGAGCTTTCCCACGTCAGCCAATCATAATCACAAGGTTTACTTAGTCACCTAATTAATTGAGAAATCCCGAGGCTACTTCTCAAGTTAGACCAATGAACATTAAGGAGCTGGCGTGAAGCAAGCTTTCTCGACGAATGAGCTAACATTATGGTGTAAGAACGTTCTCTCTCTCTCTCTCTCTCTCTCTCTCTCTCTCTCTCTCTCTCTCTCTCTCTCTCTCTCTCTCTCTCTCTCTCTCTCTCTCTCTCTCTCTCTCTCTCCAATGAACGTCTAAGTGATGCCTAGAACATGATATGTCGACCAATGAGCTAGTAAGCGATGACCAACAGTAAGATCTATCGACCAATGATCATCCAGGAGTCAATTCGAAGCCAGTTATCTCGACCAATCATCGCACTGGTTCTGACTCTGAGAACGTCTTGACCAATCCCACTTGGATTCTCGCTCTTCGTTGCGTGTCCACCACCTGTTAGCCAATAATTTTCGTTTGAGCATCCTATAAACACCGACAGTTTGCTAGTTTGCCAAAGTAATTGTTCTGGGTACAGTTGGTAACGTGGCTAGGTTGTTAGCTAGGTAATTGTTGTGAAATTATTTTATTATGATTATCTTTGCAGTGGCTGTAAGAGATTGTATTGTATTGTTTAGTGGGTGTGTTTACTATTTGTGTCTGCAGATTTGAGTTATTAGCTCTTGGACCCCGCCTTTCTAACCAATCTATTTTTCCTCTATTGTACCTACTACATATATTTCCTCTCTAACACACACACACACACACACACACACACACACACACACACACACACACACACACACACACACACAATCCACAATGAGTGCCCAAATGAGCCACAGAGATATTAGAAAGAACTTTTTTAGTGTCAGAGTGGTTGACAAATGGAATGCATTAGGAAGTAATGTGGTGGAGGCTGACTCCATACACAGTTTCAAGTGTAGATATGATAGAGCCCAGTAGGCTCAGGAATCTGTACACCAGTTGATTGACGGTAGAGAGGCGGGACCAAAGAGCCAGAGCTCAACCCCCGCAAACACAACTAGGTGAGTACACACACACACACACACACACACACACACACACACACACACACATACTGACGCAGAGTTCACTTACAGAATCGACTGACTTCAGCAGCGGCAGCAATGTGGGGGTCGGATTCCCCGCTACCCTGTGCCCCCCTCTCGGGGATTCCAACCCCCACACTCTACACCCCCGGAGCACCGACCCCCCGACCCCCCACCCCCGTAGCACCGACCCCCCGACCCCCCACCCACGGGGGACCGACTTCAGCTCAGCAACAAGCAGCAGTAATCTATATTCTCCTCTCTTCAGCGCCTCCCTCCTACCGCACTCTCCCCTGCCAGGTGAGTGCTTCGTGAGTGGCAGTGGTTTACCTTCCTGAGGCTCCGAGTGACTGAGTGAAAGTATGAGTGACTGAATGAGTGCGTGATTGAATGTGTGAGTGAGTGGGTGAATGCATGCGTGCGTGATTGAGTGTGTGAGTACGACAATGACTGAGTGCGTGTGATTAAGTGCATGAGTGATTGTGTACATGAGTACGTAAATGACTGCATGAGTACATGATTGTATAACAGGGGCCTGCCTTTAACCTCACTGGTTAAATGCTGGTTGTTATTAAGTAAATCTACAGACCAGAGGACTGTTGTCTAACCTTCAGTACCACTCCTCCAGATCTAAAACGTTCGATCGTTTAAATCTCACGACCCGAGGACACCGTACCCTTATGTAAATCATATTCATATGAATATGTCATTGAATATGACATATCACGCACTAAGAATATGAATATGTCGGTCATTGACGTTCTCGCACACTCAATCACGCACGCATGCATTCACACACTCAATTTTTCACGCACTCAATCACTATGTTACACTGTAAACCTCTGAGACGCCGCCAACACCTGCTATTACTACCCAGTGGGTAGTAATAGCATTATTGCCTATAGTAGTAGTAGTATTATCTCCCCGAATTGACGGTGAATCAGGATACCGTCAATTAGACATAAACCCCGCAAAATGTATCTCCAGTTATCCGAAAAGCAGGGATAAGATTTACGTTAAGTGTGGAATTAACTCAAAATACAAAGGGATTATATGAGATATTAAATGAATGCTCGCTGGCTTGCAGAGGAAGCCTAGTCTCAGGCACGAGCCTTGCGCCCAATACTAAGGGATTATATGAGATATTAAATGAATGCTCGCTGGCTTGCAGAGGGAGCCTAGTCTCAGGCACGAGGCTTCCGCCCAACACCAATGTAAAATAAATGGGAAGAAATTTCACTAAACACCATCAAATTCTAAACAAAATTTATTAAATCAAAGATTATCAAAGAAAATAAAAATTAATACACCCAATCTGAACACTTCCTAACTGAATAGTTTCCTGAGGCAAATGACTACAAAAATAATTTGGAGCCTACAATTTTATTTCAATCAGAAAGAACAATTACCTTAAATACCACAGCTAGGCCAGTTGTTCAGCCATGCCTCTAGAGAGGAGAATGTTGACCTGCCAGGATGTCTCAACCCACACTGACCTTAGTCTGCTCTCTCAAGCTGAGACACTGACCTAGGCTAGTTGCCAAATTAATCTTT